GAGGAGAAGGAGGAGGAGGAGGAGGAAGAAGGGGAGAAGCAGGAGGAGGAGGAGGATGAGGAGGAGGAGGAGGTGGAGGACGGAGGAGGAGGACGGAGGATGAGGACGGAAGAGGGGGACGGAGGAGGAGGACGGAGGAGGAAGACGGAGGAGGAGGAGGATGGGGGTGAGGAGGAGGAGGAGGAGGCAGGGAAAGAGGCGGAGGAGGAGGAGGAGGAAACAAATGATTAGGAAGAGGTGGTGGTGGTGGAGGGGGAGGTGGTGCAGCAGGAGGATAAGGACGAAGAGGAGGATGACTATGAGGACGACGGGGAAGAGGAGGAGGAGGAGGACGACGACGAGGAGGAGGATGAGGGGGGCGAGCAGGAACAGGAGCAAGAGCAGGAGCAGGAGCAGCAGGAGGAAATGGGGCGGAAGAGGAACAGGATGAGGAAGAGGGGCAAGAGCAGGAGCAGGGAGCAGGGGCAGGAACAGGAGCGCACGGTCGCCTTCGCAGTGGCGGACATCGACCTGCTCTCGCTGGGCGCTGCGCCCGCCGCCCAGCAGGTGCAGGTGATGTACGGTCGCGTTGCAAGCGCCTGGTCGTCGTAGTATGTTAAATATGGTGTGTGTGTGTGTGTGTGTGTGTGTCTGTGTCTGTGTGTCGTGTCTCGGCAGTGCCTTAACAGAAGCAGGGGAAGGAGCAGGAACAAGAGCAGGACCACGAGGATCATAAGGCGGATGAGGAAGAAGGAGGAGGAGGAACCGAATAATAAACAGATTGCTCAGACTACTCTGAAGAAGAGGGGGAGGACGGAGCAAGGAGGAAGCATGAAAGGAAAAGGATGAGGAAGGAGGAAGCAGGGAGGAGGAAGGAGGAAGGAGGAATGAGTAAGGAGGGCGGAGGAAGGAGGACGGAGGAAGGAGGAAGGAGGAAGGAGAAAGGAGGAAGAGGAAGGAGGTTGAGGGAGGAGGGCGAGGACGAGGAGGAGGAGGATAGTTGATGTCGGCGCAGGATGGTCGAGGGAGTGGGGAATGAGGGTGGGCTGCAGCGAGTGGAGGGAGGGGGCAGGCGGGAGGGTGGCGGGATAATGATGGTGGAGGCGATGCAGACGAGGACGTGCGATGATTGCGGCAATATAAAGCGTGATCTGCAGATGTCTCGTGCACTGCGCAATCGCTGCATCGAGATCTTCATGGACGCGCCCGACTGCGCCTGCCTCAGCTGCGGCCGCCTCGGCCCCTCCCCCATCGACGCCTGCAGCGGTGGCAGAGTCCAGACGGCGCGTGCTTGTACAGATCCTGGCCTGGCCCGCTGGGCCCAGGATCGACGTATATCTTTTAGAGACGCGAAGATCGGGACAACATCGGATCGGGATAACTCGAAATCTCTGAGAATCGGCGGGTTTGGAGGATGTGTTTGGCGCCGCGGCCGCTCCAGAGCGTTCCGGAACGCTCTGAGAGCGCTCCGGAACGCTCTGGAGCGATTTATCCCGATCCTAGCCCTGTTTTATGTCGTTGCCCCCGTCTAGCTTCATCGCTGGTGCAGCCAGCCCTGCTTCGTCGCCGACGGGGAAATTGCTTGGCCAAGCCCGCAGGGATTGCACACCGATCCTTGGCCCCGGATGGGCCGGGCCAGGATCGTCGCACGTGTATCGCTGGCGCCCTCCCTGGACTGGTAATGCGCGACCGTGGCCTCCAGATCGGCATCGGCCGCGGTTGCGTCGCAGGTTCGGTTCGGGCGCCGTGGGATCTTGGCGGAGAAGGTCGGCGGTGGGCGCGGTGGCGGCTGCCGGACGGGGCTACGACGAGGATACATCCGTTCCAGGACGCTCTAAGAGATTTCGGGATCGCTCTGAGAAGGCCGATGCGCCGGAGACATGTTCCAGAGCCGCCAGATCTATCTCAGGGGGTTTTGATTTGTCTTCACCCGATGTTGTCTTCGTCTTGGCTTCGTCGAAGGTTGTCCCCCTGCGTATCACAGGCAAAGTACCAGCCGGGAGCCTCGAAGGCGAGGTATTCGTCAACGGGAAAGGTCGGCGCAGGCCGCTCGTCGCCTCAGAGCGTCGGCGATGATCGTTTGCGCTGCCGGATTCGCCAGGTGAGCAACGACAAATCGCCGCCGTCGATTGCGCCGTCATTTGCGCGTACACGCTGGTCGTTGAACGTCCTTTTTGGGGGATGCCCAGATCCCGATATCCGTAGGGGTTTCGCCCCTTGCCGCCGGCCCCCTCTCTATTATAACGGGAAATATCAGAGTCGCGTCGATGCGTCTCGGCGCTGCCTGGGCGCATCTGGGAACACCATGCGGGGGCGGATAGGAATCATCAGCGCATGTTGGGACGTTGGCGTTCTCCTAGCGGCCTTCGTTCGATCCCGCCACCGTGCCGGGGTTGTGGGTCTGAGGCCTCTTGTATATGTGTTGGAGTGTCGTGAGGAGCCTTTCGGGGGCGGCCTGTTGGAGGCGGTTTGGGTGCCTCTTGGGGGCCTTTTGGGGCCTCGTGAGGTATTTTTGTTTGCC